CAAGAAGAGTTGCTGATTTCTCTGTCTATTTACTTTTGCTTGTTAGAATGAAATGATGACATTTAAGCTCCTTACATGGGAAGTTGGAGGTTCAAATTATACACTTTAAATGAGTAAAATTTATGATATGTAAATTTTACCTCAATGAAGATGTTTTAAAATTTTGGAAAAGTAAAAGCTGAAAAAGCTCCCCACACATTCTGTGGTTTGTAACTCCAATAATACAGCTGAGGGCTGAAATTAGAGAGGCAATCCATCTCTTTACCTACTACCAACTCCCATGTTTTCATTGACAGTGTTTTTGATGAATTATTGCATTAATTAGTATACCTTAATTAGGTAAAGGCAAGGAAATGTCATTCAGTTACTCATAGGCTTATCTCCAAGACACTAGACTCTTTAGAGCCCTTTTTCTGTCTAGGGTCAATCATCCCCATCAGTTCCTGGAAAGCTAAATGAGTACAAATCAAGCATATATCATTTCAAAAGTCATCTAGAAAACCTTCAGTTCAGTTGGGGTAAAAGCCCCAGAAAATAATTTTTTCAAAAGTACTTAGGTCATTCCTGTGGTCATCTTAGTGTAATTTCCAAACTTGAGGATGTTACTTTCTGAGTTAAACTAGTAAAATTGAACACAAACTAAAAAATAGCTAATGGAAGAAATATGCCACATTAAGAAATAGGTATAAATGTCTTCCTGATAAGAATCTTAAGGAACACCTATTCATTATTAATTCATTCATACATTTAACAAATATTTATTGAGGACTCATTATGTGCAGTCACTGTGCCAAGTACTAAGGTAAAATAAGCTTTCGTGAAATTTATAATCTGGAGGAACCATTAAAAGTTCATAGGAGGTTTACATTTCATTGAACCTGGGATCTAATTGAAGACACCAACAACCAAATTAACAATTATAATATATCAAATTCTTAGGACATGTATATGTTAGCTGAAGGTAAATGGAGTAAAAAAAAATTGAACCTAGATAGTATGAATTTGGTAGTGTTTATTTAATACTCTCTGAGAGAAAGATAAGAATAAGATAGAAATATTCCAACAATATGACAAGTGATAGGATGAAACAGTCATAGCTCCTTAAAAATGGGTTTTCCTTATTTTTAAACATCATCCCACCAGAGCAGATAACTACTCTTGCCCCTTCCAATCCATCTGCAACCCAGCAGCCAAAATGATCTTTTAAAAACACAAATACAATCCTGTCACCCTTTAGTGATTTCCCATAGCTCAGGAGTGGTAAGACCTAGAAAGCATAGCATGATTTGGCTCTAATACAATGTTTGCAGTTCACTCTCCAGCTACTCTTCCCCTCACTCAAGTCATACAGGCTTTCTCTACTCCGCCAGTGACCTCAACTCCTTCTTATTTCAGAGCCTACTGTCTGTCCCTTTTTTCAGGAAGCTCTTCTTCCATCTTTGCCTGGCTAATGCATACTCATCTCTCTGGTCTTCCTGAGAAAGTGTTTCTCTGACTTCGCAGGCCAGATCAGGCCCCCTGTTTTATACTCTGATTACATGGTAGGTAAAATTTTCCTTCGTTGTACTAGCACCATTCTAATTATCTAACCATGTGTACGATTATGTGATTACTATATTACTCCTACAAAACTATAAACTTCATGAGAGCAGGCAACGCACCTATTTTGTTTATAGTGCCTCACACAGTATGTGCAAATTTTCTTGGAAGGAACAAAAACAGAAGAGGGAGTGGAGGGAGATAAGAAGGAAAGAAAAAGGAAATGGAATAAGGAAGTAGGCAGGGAGAAAGCAGAAAAGGAGGAATGGCAATCCCAATGAAGTCAATTGGGAAGATATTTGATTCTTCATTTCTTGTGGGAAAGCTGGAAAAGTCTAATGTAGCTCTTATGTGAGGCCTCAATGCTTAAAGGCAGAAGTCGAACATCGTAATTTTTTCTATGGGATAATGCTCAGTTCAAACCACAGAAGTAGGTCCAAATAGGTCATCATAGCAAAAGGGGTCTGAGGTATTAGGTATAGAGCAAAATGAGAATGGGAAAAGCAGGGAATATGAGGGCAAATAAGAAATAATCTACACAAATTCAAGAAATTGTAGGACAAGGCCACCAGCTGGGCTTCTTTCTTGTACCTAGTGGCTTTTTATGCATGGGCAAAGAAAAATCTGATTAAAGGGACATAAACCACACATACTTGCTATATGTGGACAAAAGAGGGGCCACATACTAAACCTGACAAACTCAAGAGACTGAAAGTAACCACATAGGATGGTCTGAACGTAAAAATTCCTAACTAAAAAGGGTTAAGGGCAGGTAGTCACATCCTAGGCCTGTACCTTTCTTGACAAAGATTAATCTTTACTAACTAAGCCTGTCTGTTGTCTTTTTGCATCTATGATAACATACCTCTGGAATGTCAGAGTAATCTCTTTTTCAAGATCCCTCAGGGCACACCCGCAGGACCAGCGCAGAGATCACAGGACTCCTCATTGTTATGTTGTTCCCTGAATACCGTCTCTATGTGCAGCAAATATTCGTGGTTAACTATCCTATACCTGCCAATGTAAAAGAAGTATGTGTCTCTCCTTTTACTCTTTATCGAACCTCAGAGATTTCCTCGCTTTTCTTTCTCTTGCCTCCCTAATCTGTCACCAATGAATTTCATGTAACGCCCCTCCATATACATACAGTTTCTCCCTTGCCTTTTAACTCATATTTCAAATTTGGTAGGTCTATCCTAAGTTATAATGCTATGCATACATTCTTCACTTTCCAATACACCTTACTGCATTCCTCCCCCTTGTTTAACCACATGCCTCACCATTTTCCAAAACAGGTATGACTTCCAAGGTGTCTGGATCATCCATAGTATCTAGACTCTTCAAAACTTCTGTCTCAGGTGGTGGCTTTTGTATGAACATGCTGGAAGTTGAAGCTTCCGCATCTGAGAATCAATATCTTTAGGTCACCCTCAAGGTGGGATTCAGGAAAGGGAGTGCTCCTTATTCACTTTCATTTTCTCTATGCCTCTCAGCTATCCAGGCCTTTTTTTTTTTTTTTTTCATAAATTCAGTGAAAAGTTAGAGAAGTGATGACTCTTCTCAACAACTATCATACCTCAAAAAAGTTACTCCCTTGACATAAATGGGAAAAAGCAGAATACGTAACTAGATTCTTTGAGACTGGGGTAGAAGAGAAAGCCAATTTTCTTTGGAATTTTATTTTACAGGTTTTGAAATATCAAGTACAATGGTAGCAAGGACTCCCATAGAGGAGTCCAGAAAAGTTGAAATAATTCACAAAAGACAAGAAATCAACTACCAGCTCATGTACTATAAATCTCATTTTTCCTCAATTCCCAAGTCCTCCTTATCTGCCCAGAGCTTATTCCCCACATATCTGGCCAAAATCTCACCTGATATTTGTATCAGGGAAAAACATCACTGAGTGACATATATTTTATCATAGTGGAGGTGGAATAAACAAGGTCAGTTGACACCTAAAACTGCATTTACACTAGTAAGTCTCATATCCTGTGTTGAAACTCTCTTGAAGGGAACCCATTCTGTCACTGGAATATGATCAGGAGACAATGATACCTGTTCTCTGAGGAGTCCTGACTAACTGGCGAGATTGAATCACACACATGAAAAATTTCAGATGCAATTCCTCTTTACGCATGGCTATCTCCTAAAAACAGAGAGAGTTTAATTCAAATGAACAGATTTGTGAGATGATTAAAATGGACAAAAGTGACACAAACCAGGTATGTTCAATCCTAATTGGTGTTTACAACCCAATGATCTAAAATTCAGCATATGAAGAGTCACAAATAATCTATGTTTATACTGTAGACATGCGACATCCACTGAACTCAGCGAACATCTCCTTTTCCCAGCTGCCAGGAGTAGCTAAAAGGCTGGGGGCCTCCAGAGGCTGCCATTCCTCAAGTCTGAGCTTGAACTGTGGCTCTCGTCTGGGTCTAGAGTGCCTACTCAGAATCATTTCTCATAGCCTTCTAGACAGGGCCTGGGTCCAGAGGCCCTAAGAGTTGAGAGACTTGGTTAAAAGTCTGAATCAACAAACATATTTCTTCCCATTATTTTATCTTAAAAAGTATAGCACAGATCACAAGTTAAGCAATTTGGTCACAGGAGCACCACCAGGGTCATTTAGTTGTTCAGAGGGCAGACCCCCTCGGTCCTTTCCTCTCTTTACTCAGAAAAGTAGATCTCTGGTGGATACCCCCCCCCCCCCCCCATAGCTTTCCTCACAACTATACTTGTGTTTCCAACTCCTCCAGAGTTCTGGAAGGTTCCACAGGTTTAGAGTCTAACTTATGATGCCAACCTGGAGCTTTTGTTTTCCGCTTTTCTTTTCCGAATGGCCAATTGAGCATGATAATGGTACAAAGAGTGCAGGGCTGCAAGTTAAAGAAACTTGTTTCCTACTCTTAGATCTGCCATGCACTTTTTAACTTTGGGAAATGACTTCACTTCTCTTAAACTATTAGACTAAACTATCTCCAAAAACCTGTACAAGCCCTAAAGTTCTGTGATTCTTAATAATACACAATATAGCCTGAGCTCGATTTAGCTTTCAGGTCTACATCTGCCAAGGTGGCCGCGAGTGGCCGCGGATGAAGGGCCACGGAGAAAGCAGCCACAGAAACCAGAGCTATAAGCAAAAATCACTCAGCGGAACCAGAAAACGGCGGGTAACGGGGTGAGGGAACCGAGAAAAGCGAAGGACTAAAGGCTCACTAACAGTATATTCCGAGAACAAGAAAAAGCCCAACTGAAAGGGGACCAAGGAAATTATGACTGCAGCCTCAGATGCTTCCTCGGTTTCTGAAGCCTCGCCATACTGCGCAGGCGTTCCGCGGGCCCTTAACTGTGCTCTTTGACCTCCTGCCCAACCCCCTTCCTCCACAGCCACCGAGCGGTTCTTCCGGTGTTGTGGAGGCGGTTCCGGTTCGTGGTCGTTCCCGGGTTTTGCATTCCGCGCCCGGCCGGAAACCCCTTCGTATAGCAGCCGGTTCCGGTTCGGTGAGTGGCGGCGGGAAGCTGGGGGAGGGGTGAGGATGGAGGGAGCCTGGGCCGGGAGGCAGTGCAGCTCCAGGCCCGGCAACCAGGGCTGGGCTAGGCGGAAGCGGGGACGGCTCTGGGGACGGTGCTTTTCCCTCTGCCCCGCCCCCTGGGACCACCTCCTCTCCCTCCTGATGTCCGCTGGCGGTGGTCTGGCCGGTGGTGGTTAGTTAGGCTCCCCGAGGCCGTTTCTTCAGGCCTTTTCGTCTTGGGCAGTGGGGAGACCGTCTCCCTGCCATTACGGCAGCCCCCGTCTCAGCGTCCAGTTCTCCTTGTGGAGGAACGGGCCGGTTGGGACTTAGGGGCTTTCCCGCCAGAGCAGGGTCATCTCTCCAGGGAAGGCTCTTTTCACCGGGAAGCTCAGCTTTCTGGTACACCTGCTTCACCTCCTTCCTTCCTTCAGACCTGAATGATACGTCTCGACTACTTTTGCGCCTCACGAAAACATTTCTCCAACTCTTTTACTCTGTGGTATCTCCCTGAGATGGGATATTGGTAGTGCCACCACCAGAAAGAAACGTCTGGACCCTCCTGCCCAGGTTATGAAAATCCCCTTCACTGCCGGTTTACTTACGTAGCTCATCGCCTTCTGGTAATTCCCTTGAACCGTCTCTTCTTGCTTGGTGTACCCTAACGTGGTCTCTCTGGATATATGCCCAGTTTCTCTAGAGCTTGGTGATTTCTGCCTATCGGAGCCTCTGCAGTATTTGCACTTATCTTCTTGGCAATAACTTGCTCCTTTATCACTTTCAAGTCAGCCTTGTTAAAGTCATTTCACTTCACGTTTGGTACACTTATATTTGGGGCGGTGGTGATTCTTATAAACTTTTTGGAAAGCCTTTTATAGGCGACCAACTATTTGACTTAGGGTTCTTGTTTTAATTGGATATTCTAGATGGAATAGACTAGACCATCTCCTAAATCTTTATTCTTTATTATAAAGATAATTTGTGTTGAGACGTATTGAGAGGTAAATTACAGTAAACTTGAAATTACAGTTAGTGTGAAATCTTAAGCATCTCTTTAAGCATGATTCCTTAACTTTCTTCCAATTTAGAGATTCCTGTCCTTCCTTCTCTCCACTGCCCCCCCTGCCCCGCCCAGTTCCATCGTGGAAGCCTCATTTATTTTATTTTCTGAAGCCTCATTCATTTTTACCTGATTCTAGTTAATTATCCCAACTGCAGAGATGGTCTTCATGTCACCCATCTGATGAGTTAAATCTAGAGGGAGGAAATGGATTGAAAAAACAGGTTCTGCTACTTCAGGCTAAGGTGATGTAACCTAATTGCTGCTTTGGAAGTCTTTTCTTTACCTGACTCCCACACCTACCAATTGCATCAACTTTATTTTCTTGCTATAAGTATCCATTTATGGATCTGACTTCCTCCAGTAGACAGTAAGCTTCTCAGCAGCAGGGACCAGTTTTTACTCTTTTAATCCCCAGCACCTTGTATGTAATTTTTCAGTAAATGTTTCTGCGTAAAAGAAGTAGAATACTTAATGTTTAAGGTGTTAAGAGTGTTAAAGTGTTTCAGGTATTAAAGTCTAATTGGGAGAGATTATATGTAAAAATATTAAAAAAATGATGATACAGTATAAACTATCATACAAAATTTTCCAGAGTTCAGAGTAGGGTGACTCACATGATCACTTCTACACCCTTTTCATATCATAAATTGTTTTAAACACATCTTGGTTCTGGATAAAGCTAATGGTGTAGTGGTTCTCTACAGTATGCATTTTCTAGTAACTTAATAGCTCTCAACATTTTCTTTTATAATCACCTTGTTGCATGTACGTAAGCTTATAACTGTTTTATCATACTAGTTACATTCTGTTAACTGTCAGGACTTTGCCATTTTTTTCTTTCAGATTTCCTACTATCTTCTGTTCAGATACTAAGTTGACTTCATCTGAATATATGAAACTGCCTGTGTCTTTAAGTAAAATAAATGACCAATATGACTGACCAATGTGGATTAGGAAATGAGTTACTAGAATACTTTTTAAAAAAGATTTTATTTATTTATTTTTAGAGAGAGGGGAAAAGGAGAGAGAAAGAGAACGAACATCTGTGTGGGAGAGAAACATTGATTGTTGCCCCTCACACCCCCCCAGCTGGGGATGTGGGCGGCAACCCAGGCATATGCCCTGACTGGGAACTGAACTGGCAACCTTTTGGTTTGCAGTATGGCTCTCAATACACTGAGCCACACCAGCCAGGGCTAGAATACTTTTCTTAAAAGGCAAAAAAAATTATATTTGCAGGAATTTGGTGGCATCAGAGGTTCCAGATCCAGCATTTCCTGTTGAATCTTGGGGTTAAATATCCCTTCTCCCAATGTAACTGCAAAGTGGCAAAAAGAAAGTATCATAGGCACAGTGAAGCAGCTGTTTGTATTAAAATGTAAATTTGGGGCTTTAATTATTAAAATTATGAAACAGCAGGGATTCCCCAGAGTTAGCTAGGCATTACTTTTATCTTGCTAAAGTGTATGAATCCTTGAATGAGGATATGTTAAAAGATGTGAAGTTTGGTGATATTTGTTAAAAACACATTTGCTTGGAATTCAGGATACCTGGATTTTTGTTTTCGTTTTACTCCATTTGTGTAATTTTAGGCAAGTCACTTAACCTTTCTGGACAGAATCTAAAATTTTTTGATTTCTTGTTTGTTTCCCTTTTTACATCTATCTCAGTAGTGCAAAAGAAGTTAAAATGGGTGTTTTGCTGGGCAATGGGCTTTTAAATTGGCTTTCTTCTTAATACAACAAAAAGGCCAGTGATGACAATTATGAAATGGCCTGATAGAGTGAAATGTGGAAAAGCTACTACTAGGTTTATTAGGTGATAGGCTATTTCCTCTCTTAATCTGAGACCCAGGGAATTCTGCTTTATTAAAAAAGAAAGGTGGGGAAAGAGTAATTGGGAGAATTTCCAGGTAGAAGCCTTTTGTTAAGCAAGCATTTGTAAACATATTTAAAGCCTAAATCTAAGGCTCAGATTCTTTGGGAATCCTCCCTGGCAAGACTAGGTAATCAGATTATTATTCTGCTTAGTCTGTAGCAGTGCCAAAAAAAGATGAAGCAGCCTTTCTTTGTGTGTGCACTTCATTATTGTGACCATAAAGAGTACGTGTTATCAGCTAGTCTCCTTAGTAGATTGAAGCCCTGATATTGCTATTAGTTTTTGAAGTATTCTGTCTTTTAAAAAATATGATAGGATTATGAATAATATAAGTGTGACAATCATCATCCCTACTCTTCTCCTCTTGAAAATCTGCCAAGAAGCATGTGTACCACGGGGATGTTTATTAATCTAATTCCAAGCAGTTAGGCTTTTAACTTTCTTTTTCTGGGAAAATTAGATCCATCAGAGGAGAAAGTAATTTCATATGGGCAAAGGGGCTTTGGTTTTTAGCAGTTTGAATGACAATGGGGGAGAAAGTACTTAGTACAACTCTGAAGTATTCCCTAACTGTCCTCAGAGTATCAGTAGCTTTATGTTTGACTGCTGAGTAAGATGTGTAAAGAAGACAAGTCAATAGGACCACCACAAGATCTATCACTTGTTTATGGAATAGTTTATTATGAGGTAATAACAAGAGCAATGGATTGGGGATAATTTCCAGGTTGTAGTTTCAGTGTAGTCACTAACCAACTTGATGACCATATGCAAATTAATCTCCAAGGGGTGGCCTTTCCCAGCTTGCTTCTTGCAGTAGTATTCTGTGATTCTGTAGGGAGTCCATAATTGCTGTTTAGGATAGCACAGATTGCAGAAATGTTTGGAACTACCTCAGGCCAGTTTTAGTTCTCATCTCTTCCCATCAAGTCAAATCTTACCACCTTATGTTTTTCTCCACTAGATACACAAACATCACTTCTGAGTGGCTTCCAGCCTGAGTGGTTGTATAATTAAATGAAGGAGATATTTCAGTATGTAACATTTCTGTTCCCTGTCTTCTTTTATAGGACTTTGTATCTCCGTTAAAGTCAGTGATGTGAAAAGACCTGTCATGGGTAAGACTATGAAGTAGTCATTGAATCCTCCTAGTTACTCTCATTAGTTAACATATTTCGTAACGCTCATGAGTTTTCTCGTCTTTTACGCGCCATCTGTTATGGACTTTAGATGTTAACACACTGTCTTGTCCACATCGAATAAAGTGATCTCATTGGTGGAAACCGTGCAGGTCAATCTACGAAAAACTATATAATTGCATGAACCCATAAAGCATTGCAGTTACATTGTATTTTGGTCGTTCGACCCTGGCGTATGTCTTAAGAGATTTCTATGTGATACGCAATGTGTTAAGCTGGAGTGAAAGAATGGGTTTGCCTAACATTTTTGTTTGCACTTTTGTGCTTAATAATTTTAAAGGAGATCTCTTACTAATTGTGTAATACAGTATACCAAACAATTTTGTTTTGGCTGAGACATTGTTCATAGCATCGTTTGTAAGTATTTTCTCATTCATTATATTGAAAAAGCCAAATACATACTAGCAGAGGTTTACTATGTACCAGGCTTTAAGTACTTAAAATACATTCATTTAATTTTTTTACAATCACCTTACAAGGGTACCTATAATACCTACAAAATAGGTACTATTATTATCCTCATTATATCAATGAGGAAACTGAGACACAGAGGTTAAGAAACTTGCATGGGGTCATACAACTATAACTGGCAGAGCCAGGATTTAAACTCAAGTAGCCTGGTTCCAGAGTCCTTGTCCTTTGGTACTGTGTTGTATTGCATTGGCCAAAATGTTTGTTTAGTTTTTTCTGTATAGTGGCTCTAGTAGTGCTTAGTTGTCTTTAACTTCATTCAAAAAAATTTTGTCAGATTGTATTGTGAGCTGTTATATCAGTGTGCATTTTTAAAAAAACTTACCAAAATTGGTGAATATCTGTGTAGCCATTTTAATAATGAAGATGGACGAAAATGTGCAACATTTTTGGCATATTATGCTTTATTATTTCAAGAAAGGTAAAAATGCAACTGAAACATAAAAGATTTGTGAGGTATATGAAAAGGTGCTGTGACTGATCAAACATGTCAGAAGTGGTTTGAGAAGTTTCTTGGTGCTATTCACATTTTGGCCAGATAATTCTTTGCCGTGGGGCCGTCTTATGGTTGGAAGATGTTTAGCAAACCCCGGTCTCAACCCACTAGAAGCCAGTAGCGGGAGATAGCCAACATACTCAGAATACCCAAATCAATAAAGTTATTGGTGAAAATGAAAAATGTGTCTTTTATTTTACAGGAAAACCTAAATAGACTTTTTGGCCAACCCAATACTTCCTTCTATATGATAAATAATTATATTAAAGTAAATTTTAAGTTTTATTTAGTTAGTGGCACTGACTTGAACATTTTGTACTATTCATAGTACCTCATATCTGTAAAGGGGATCAGTATAAGGTAGCCAGAGTAAGAATAGGTTGAAAATCTATACAGTTAGATCTTATAACATTCTCTCTGCCCCTTTTAAATTCACATTAGTTTGTCTCTAGTTTTTGTTTTTTCCTTTTGCTTTGTCTCTCTCTCTCTCTCTCCCCCATTTGTTTACTATTTTTCTCATTGATGATATAAGTCATTGAGTTCCTTTACTCTCATTTGTTCCTATTCTACCTCTTTCATAACAAAGTAAAAAAATATCTCAACTAATGGTTATAAAGTAAGATTCTGCCATAATATTACAGTGATTGAGCTGATGTCTGTTAATAGGCATATGAATAAATGTTGCTTTTTGCAGAAAAAAAATTTTTTGATTTTTATTTTTTAGATTATAAATATATATACTCTCTTTTTCTAAAAAAAAAAATATATATATATATATTTATTTCTAGTTAGAGGGGAAGGGAGGGGAAAAGAGTTGGAGAGAAACGGTGATGTGTGAGAGATACCTTGATGGGTTGCCTCCTGCCTGCCCCCAAATGGGGACTTAGCCCACAATCCAGGCATGTGCCTTGACTGGGAATTGAACTGGTGGCCTTTTGGTTCACAGGCTGGCTCTCAATCCACTGAACCACACCAGCCAGGGCTAATTAATTTTTAAAGCACTTTTTTCAATTAAAAAAGAAGAAATAAACTAATGTTAACAAGTATTTATTTTTTTGAATGATGACATTTCCCCCCCAGTTTTTTATACTTAAAATTTATATACAGCAAAAACATTAAAGAAATTCTTTAGGGAAAATTTCATTACTTTTAAAACTTTGAATTTAGCTCTTGTTATACTTGTACAAGTTTTGAACTGTTTGGTAGATGATCTCAGTTAATTCCCAGTGGGCCAGTTTCTGCACATGGGCCTCCTTTTTTGACAGTTTTGAGATTTCTTGCCAATGGTTATTTATGAAGGAGATGTTTTATTAAAACATAGGGCTCGCCTTTGGGAATCATTTTTATTGGGTGAAAAGATTGGTTTATAGGAAAGTAGTTATTAAAGACTTATGTGACTTGAACTAATCCGACTCTTTCCCCAGATGATATTGCTGATAGGATGAGGATGGATGCTGGAGAAGTAACTTTAGTGAACCACAACTCCATATTCAAAACCCATCTCCTGTCACAAACAGGTTTTCCAGAGGACCAGCTTTCACTTTCTGACCATCAGGTTAGGAATAATTTTCTTCCCTTAATTAATGAATTATTTTGGCATAAGTTTTCATTTGATGTAGTTTAAATGCCGAACTCAAAAGCACAAGTGTATATATAAACTTTTTAGAATCAATGATTGTAATGTTTGGAATTCTGTTTGATATATTACAGTTAAGACAAGAACCACGCTATGCATGAGTTCTCTGAGAGCAGTACCTTTGAGAAAACTTCTATTTCTCTGAACGCTACAGTTACCAATTTTGAGATCTGTGTTGTTTTAAACTGGTATCTTAAAATTGCTGAGCATTAAATTGGGCATGTATATTTATAGGTATACAGCAGCTCTGAGATTTCTCTGGGCTATAAAACTTACATTCTTAAAAGACCATTGTTAGAAATGGAGAATTTCAGGCTTTACCCCACCCATACCTATGAATAATAATCTACATTTAAAAAAACTCCAGCTGATTTCTTTGCACATTAAAGTTTGAGGAGCATATGAATAAAGCAGTCCTTCTCAGTAGGAAAGTCATTACTAATTTGTATGCAGTGATTCTTTGCTGTGTGAATCTGGCCTAAGCATGGCAGAATGTTTAGTATCCTTGTCCCCTGTGTACTAAATACCTGTAGCATCTGCTCCCAATAATTATTTTAATAACTGAATATATATTCACATATTTCTAGATTTATACTGGGGTGCAACACCACCTCTAGTTAAAAACTCACTTTTCAAAAGAATCAAAACCAGGTTTATTTTGTCTGCCTTTTCAATAAATGATACAACTGACTTTCAGAACAGGATATACTAAATGCATATTTACCTTCTAATGCCTATTTTTTCCCTCTTGAAGCCTCAATCATTCATCAGATTGTGTTTTCCTTTCTTAATAGTATGTTTAATTTATAATATATAAATAAAATTAATTATATTGAATTCTGATATATGTCATGATCTTGTTTAATGGTATATTTTCTCTCAAAATATGATTTAAGAAAAATCTTCTGTTTTGTTTAGATATTACCCTCCAGGCAAGGAAATTTGGACCGATCTTATACATGTTCTGCAAGGAGTACAGCTTATAGTCCAAATTATTATTCAGGTATGACACATTACTTGGAATCAAGACGTTTATACCTTTCAGTTTGCTTCTTAGCATATCATTTGTGTTTACCATCTCTAAAAGTATGAAAGCATTGTCAAAAACAAAATAGCATTTTCTCCACTAAAACCTCATTTTAATTAGCTGGATGTGTGTCTGTGTGTGTGGTTGCTATGATACTCTACTGATCTAGTCTCAACTAAATATTTTTTAATGGAAAAGTCTTTTTAATCTATTCCCCTTTTTGTTCATTATGTCATTGTAAAAAGTACTACAGCTTTTTTGTTTTAGATATGTATATGTGATATAAAAGATACTTGTTTTGTATTGACTTAAAGCTCAGAGCTAGCCTATTTCTATTCTGCTTCAAACCATGAATTCTGAAAATTTAATTCTGCCCAAGTTTATCGCTCCATCAGGGCAGGAAATGTTAACTACATGTCTCTATCTAGCACCTGCCACAGCCATGCTTGCATATTCAAGAGCTTGCCTATTTAGCTTGTGATCCATGACAGAAGTCAGCATTCTGTAGGCTATTCTAGCCCCTGGTCTGCCTGACTTTTCATCTTCCCTTCCTAAAGTTTGGATTTCCAAAGATCTTCTGGCTCTGTCTTGGGGAAATGAAGGGTTGTTGTTCATTAGCTTCCTGGCAGTATGACCCAGGAAGATGATAGTGTCTTCCCGTATCTTTTCACTCCTCCTGCTTCACTCTCCTCATCTTACCACAAATATGGGAATAATAGTAATACCACTGATCATTAATATTTCCATTAGAACTCAGGTTGTGTTTCCTTGTAATTTCATATGCTGATTTACCACCAGACAGAATATCTGCTTTTAGTTAAAAATAATTGCTCAGTGGGATTTTTATAAGGATAAACTGAGATAATAAATATGAAATGCAAACGATAATTGTTATTTGGCTCTTCAGGATTCTTGTCAGCAAGATGAGAAATCTCCTCCCCTGAAAAGACATTAGTATGATGCTCTTTTAGATTTATAATACATTTAAATATCATTTAGGTGGGTAGTAACTTATCTGGGCACTGGATTTCCTATCCTGAGATGGGAACTGTTCCCCACATAGTATGTGCATACTTTATATGGAAACATCAGTTAATTTGATTCAAAAGTAACTTTGCCATTATTACTGAAAAATTCTAGCCCTGGCTGGTATGTCTTAGTGGATTGAGCGCCAACCTGCAAATTGAAAGGTTGCTGGTTTTGGGCACATGCCTGGGTTGTGGGGAGCAAATAAATAAGAAATATCCTTCCTGATGAGCAGAGAGCCTGAAACCTGGTTTGATAGCTCATTAGGAATCCTAGGGGAAGGGCAGTTGAGTGGATAATGAAATCAGATCATTAATATTTCCATTTGAACTCAGGTTGTGTTTCCTTGTAATTTCATATGCTGATTTACCACCAGACAGAATATCTGCTTTTAGTTAAAAATAATTGCTCAATAATAAACAATTACATCAGAAAATTATACCCAAAATCTGTTGACCATAATTCAACTCTTCCTTAACTCTGTTGCTATTTCTTATTTTTGGCCCTGCCGTACAAGCATAGTATACATTGTATGAATTGATACATATAATCTTTTGTTAACCCAATATTTTTACTTTTCATTTGTTTACATGTGATTCTTCATACTTACCTTTTTATGTTGATTTCTAATAATCCATGGAATTGATATGCACTTCACAATTCTTTATGTGCAATTCCAAATCTAAAAGGCTCTGAAAACTAAAAATATTTTTCATGATTATTTGACATCAAAACTTGACCTCAGTTTTCATTCCTTGGCAAAACTTACATGATCTAATATGAAGCTATTTATATTTTGTCTTTTATCTACCTTTGTGAGTACAAGTATTTATATATTTTATACATATATATCAATATGTTTGATTAAATCATGCTGCTTCAGATTATCCTTGGAAGCGTCACGTAGTATATTCCAGATTATCTTTCTAAAATTCCAAAATTTTTAACTCAGAAACAACCAAGGGGCTATGATTTAGGATAATGGACCTGTGCCTTCATTTGCTTTATTGTTTTCCCTATAATTTCAGTCCCCTTTACCCTTGCCATTTTCAGCTCTTACAAATCACTTGACTTAAAAACATTTGTATATATAGTGTTTTATTTTAAATTTCAGTAGACCTGTGATACTCATAAGGGATATATCTGAGGTCATCTCAAATCATCATATTCTTACTATGGTGATAGTTGATCAAATTTTTGGCTTTCTTCTCAGTTATGTGATTCTTGAGAGTTACATTTTTCCTGTATTTGTCCTCTCAACACAAGTTGATCCCCATAATAAAATATAACACGGATGGCCCTGGCTGGTATATTGGCTCAGTTGGTTGGAGCATTGTCTGGCAACCAAAGGTTGTGGATGGGTTTGATCCCTTGTCAAAGCACATACCTAAGTTGCAGGTTTGATTCCTGATCCCCGGTCTGGGTATGTACTGTCCCTGGTCTGGGTGCATGTGAGAGGAAGCCAGTCGATGTTTCTCTCTCATGTTGATGTTACTCTCTCTCCCTTCTTTTCTTTCTAAAAACAATGAGAAGAAATACTCTCAGGTGAGGATAAAAAAAAATTTTCACCTGTTTTATATCTCATTTAAAGGCCATGTTTTTAGGAAGAGAAACTGTTCAGGATGATGAATTCAGAATAACAACAGTGAATAATGAAACCACATTGAAATGTGGATGTAGAGCTATTGGATTTATTCTCTGTATTACAGCCTGAAGCATTTTGCCTCTACAGATTTCATCAAGTCCCTGACAAAACAAACATGGCGTGTCACAGACCTCTAAGGTTACTCTCTAACAGTCAGAATTTTAAGTCTTGAATGCCAATGATCTGTATACCTTTTTCTTATAATGTCTTTCATTCAAATCTACTTTTTACCATGTACTTTTTAAAACTTTCTTTGCCATACCCATTCCAACTCATTGCATGTCCTACAGAACTTTGTGCTATCTCCTTTGGATGCATTCTTTTCTGATAATCCCACATTGATTTCTGTGGCCAGTCACTGACCTTATCTCTTGGTTGGCTAGATGTGGGTCCCAAGTTTACCTGTCTTAGCTTTCTCATTCTGACTGTATTGATTTTTTTCTCCTCTCTCACCTTGCTATCCTTTCCTCCACCAAAATGAAAACAAACAGGAAAGCTCCAAGCTTCAGAATGTAGGGTCTGGAGATTCCTGTTTACTGCTTTACTGGATCTCCCTCTTGATACAGAGTAGCCTTCTCAATGGCATGTGATAGAGAGGTGTATCAACCTTTTAAAAAAATCTACTTCTTAATCCATTTAAGATTAGACTATTAAAAACATCAATTAAGAAAAAATTTTGGAAAGAAAAGACTGTGCAACACTTCCCCTTAAATACTTAGTGCTGGTCAGACTTCAGGTCCTGTTGATTTTATTAAGAGTGCAATTGAAAAGAAAATTAAAACATTTGAAACCCTAAACAAAGTAAAGTAGAGTGAAATGATTTTGCTCATGCTTAGAATCTATCAGTGTCTTCTCTTTGGAAAATATGTTCAACTAGGTTGTCAAATAGACATTTAGTAGGTAGGATGATTTAAAGCATCCTGCTATTTACAATAACTAAATAAATTCTAATGTTAACAGAAGCTAGTGTTGGTTACTTTCATAATAAATGATTTGCTGATACCTGATTTTTAAGATGCAAAGTTTATTTTATTATATCCATAAAAGTATTGCCTGTCCTTGTAAAAAGTTAATAAAGAGAAAATACCCATCATGTTATTATTGGAATGCAGCCAAAATTAAATTTTTGGTCTATTTCCTTATGGTTTTATGTGTGTTTATATGCACCCAATAATTAATCTTATTTGTGACATAGGCAGTCCATTTCTTAATACTGACAATACTAGGCTAAATCATCACCAAAAAATGAGTGTCTGCCATCCCCTGTTGGTCCATCCCTAGCGTTGTTTAATCACGTCAGGAATGGAGGACTGTTCCGTGATTTCACTGAGTAGGGATGGAACCACCTTATTCTGATAAAACAGACTGCTTGATCCTGTGTCTTTCCTTCGCATGGTAAGCTCATGTCTCTGTCAAATGCCATTGAGAAATATTCTCAAATTTCACAAACCTGTCAGGGTAATTTGCATTTTTTGATAGACAGCTCTAGTTAGATCGTCATTCCCTAATCAAATTTTAACAAAAATATGTGAGAGACAAAAATTTGTATTGTTATTACTTTGCATTTAATTTAAAGATAATTTTCTGAAGCTTTAATGAGACTCATTTTCATTAGCCTCATGTCTCTATCCTTTAAGTAATGTTAATAGATGCTAAGCATAGGTAATTATTACAAAGGAAAAAGGTTATAATTCATTTTGAAAGTAAATTTAACTATTAGATTAGGTTTATCCACTGTTGAATCAACTGGTACTAATACCACCCCAGACTGCCGCTTTTTAAATATCTTTATTACCCTGAATCCTAATAATCCTAATCAACTAAAAACAACAATAACACCACAATACAAAACTTATGTTTTTGTCTGCTGCCTTACTTTTTGGAAAGAGTATTAAAAGCTACATTAAATATTTTGAGTAACAAATATATGATGTATAAAGTTCTATAGTAATATGCTGTGAAAAAGGATCTTCAAAGTGATACTGAGAGACCAAAATTTAGAAAGTAGAGAATTACCATTCTTGTTTTTCCATTGGTTCTCCTCAGAGTTCCATAACGTAACATCTGAAGTTATTTTGAAAGCCTTGTTTTCAGTTGTCCTGTCCTGATGATTAGGAGAGGAGGGCACAGAATTTATTCTACACTTAGCTGAAACTTGGAAATTTTTATCCCCTCTACTTTTAGGCTACTTATAGGCTGCAGAAAATTCAAATAATAATTAAAGAACTCTCCATCTGATTGCAGCAGCAAGCATTGGAGTATTGATATGTCTGTTAATTATGGCATTAAGTGACTGAAGCATACCATATCAAAACCAGATGCATATGATGGGTCGTTCCTGCCATAGCTGGCCAGAATAAGCAGCAGTTAGGCCATCTCTGCTCTTAGAGTCTCTTAATTGTGAACATGGTAATTAAAAACAGGAGACACCAGCTGCTTATTAAGCAATAACTGTTGTTCATTTGAATTACAATTCTCCTTGGCCCTCCACCTGCTTTCTTACTGGTCTGGCCTACCTTCTTTCAGGCCCAGGCCTGGGAGTGCTTGCAAGATATAGTTGGGGTAAAATGTTGACTTTTGGTGGACACCACGGAGTCACATTGATGCAGATAAGGCACATGGCTGTGGCAGGATTCAGCTCCTTCAACAATTTTCAGGTTAGTATGGCTGAATCAATTATAGTTTGTAGAAGTTCCCTTACTGCAGACTTTACTGACAGTTGAGACTGGAATCTTCCATGAGAGAAATGGTAATATGCCACATTACTTTGGAATACAATGTTGGACATCGTTGCAGTCATATGGAGAACCACTGTATGTATTTGTTTAATTTATTCAAACTTTTATTCCTTTAGATAACCCTTCTTCAGACAGTTTTCTTGGCTCAGGAGACTTAAGAACCTTTGGCCAGAGTGCAAATGGCCAGTGGAGAAATTCTACTCCAGCATCAGGTTCAACTTTACAAAAATCAAGAAACAGCCGAAGTCTTTACCTCGAATCTCGAAAGACCTCAAGGTAGGTATTTTGGCTACATAGGTTCAAAAGCCCTTCCTGCAATATAAGAGAAAATGGCTATAAGATAGTTGTTACATTGGCATTTTGAAAGAGTGACACCGTTTTTTAACTATAAACCATAGAGATATGGACAAGTCCATTTTAAACTTTCAACTTAGAGTTTACTTGGTGGTGAATTTTGGTGACAGCCAAATCTTATCATTAGAGGAGAGGGTTTTGAGGGAAATCTGGGTGGATATGAGTGTATTGGGACCCTTCAGGATCTATATGGTATTATGGATCTGAAAGTGAAAATCAGTTTCTACAACTTCAGTAGTAAAGAAACTAGCTCTCACATAACAGAGACCTGATTTAAACCAAGGCAGCTCTGCAGCTCATCGCCTTAGTCAGCTAGACTTAAGCTACTTCTGTTAGAAAATAGTCACAAAGAACTTTATCTTATCTAGCCTAACTTCGTAAGCCCTACCTATTCCCTCATCAAGCTTATACTGATTATTAAAGGTAGATGAAATTTGGCTTAGAAACTTCTCCGACACGTACTTTATTACATTAGTAAAATATTTCTTCTTTAAAATAGTATTAAGACTTCTTAAATTTTTCTGTGGTGATGGGTTTTTAGGAATGTTATATCATTTAATTTTCTTCTTAGTCAAGGCTAAGCTTTCTGGTGTTGATTGAAACCAGTAAGATGGTTTTTATTTTATGATTATTAGCACATGGACTCTGGAAACATGTTTCAGTACTCCCAGGGACCATCTTCCCACTTCTTAATATTTTAAAAAATTTTACCAGAATTCATTAATACATGCACATTGTAAAAATTAAAACATTACTGATAAAGTTAAAGATGCTGTGGCCACTACCCATAATCTTATTCTTCTACCCTTGTGTTTCCTTCCAAACCTTTTCCTATGCTTGTTCTTATTGTACTCTATCTAATTCATATATTGCATAATATATATGCCATGTATACTATGAAATATAAGTATTTTGTATTTATTAAAGATATTCTATATATATCACTTGGCAGGTCCCCCCCCAACAATGCCATATTGTTATTTTTTAAAATAACATTATTTCAAAAACAGTATATGTGCTTTGTAAAAAAATTGGTAAATGCAGATAAGCAAAAATAAAAACTAAAAACCTTGCATTCCCACCGGAGATCTAATATCTTACTACATATCCTCCCAGATATTCTTCTCTGCATTTACATACTTCTATTTTTTAAAAGATTTTATTTATTTATTTTTAGAAAGGGGAAAGGAGGGAGAACGAGAGGGAGCGAAACATCAATGTATGGTTGCATTTCGCGTGCCCCCTGCTGGGGACCTCGCCTGCAACCCTGGCCTGTGCCCTACACTGGGAATCGAACCAGCGACCCTTTGGTTTGCAGGCCGGTGCTCAGTTCACTGAGCCACACCAGCTAGGGCTGCATTCACATACTTCCCCCTCCCCCTCAAAATGTGTTCATACTGTGCATATGCTTCTGTAATCTTTTTCAATCATCTTTTTTCTATTCAGTAAATTTTATCGTACCCTATTAACTAAATTATATTTAAATTTTACTAGTTGAATCAAAAGTATCCTTTACAGCTAATTAGTTCAAACCAGTATCCAATCTAGAATTACATCTATATAGTAGTTGTTGCTCTTAAGTCTTTTATAATCTAAAAGAGACCCATTCCCCACCCGCCCACCTCTCCTCCCCTGCTTTTTTTATCCTCACCTGAGGACAGGCTTATTGATTATAAAGAGAAGGAAGGGAGGGAAAAAGGGAAAGAAACATTGATGTGAGAGCAAAATATTGATTGGTTGCCTCTCGTATGCACCCTGACTGGGGACCGAACCCATGACCTTTTGGTCTAGGGGGCGATGCCTAACCAACCGGGCCACACTGGTCAGGGCACAACAGCCCCTACTCCTTTTTTTAATGACATGACTTTTTTCTGCATCATGTTCCACTTTTTGGATTTGACAGGTTTCTTCATAGCATTATTTTGTCGTCTATCTATTTTTTGTAAACTAGATTTTTGACTTGAATAAAAGCTGATGCTCTCTTATATCATATCAGAAAACATACATTGACCTCTGGTTCAAATAAGGACCAGGTAAGAGTCTAGTCCTTATTTGTACAGTTAGGTTTCTCTCCCCCTTGTGACTAAACTATAATCTAAATGATGTTACTTTGGCATTTTATGAGCGACCAGTTTCACGTCACTCTAATAGTTATTAATCTCAATTGATAATCCTTATCGGGTAACAACTTTTTAAAATTGAGGTATAATTGATATATGACATATTAGTTTCAGGAATACAACATAATTATTCCATATTTGTATATATTGTGAAATGATCACCACAATAAGTCTAGTTAATATTCATCACCATACATGGTTACAACATTTTGGTATGTGTGTGCTGAGCACTTTTAAGGTCTTGTCTTAGCAACTTTCAAATATGCAATATAGTATTATTAACTATATTCACCATGCTGTACATGATATCCCCATGACATTTATTTTAAACAGGAAGTTTGTACTTTGGGCCCCCTCTGAACTTATAATAATTTATTAGAATTAATGAAATAATGCTTTTCTGATTTTATTATTTTTCTACATTTATTAATTGGCACCCAGCTGTAAAGGAGAGCTCTTTTTCCTCATTAGCTGGAGCTGTTTGATTACCCTGAAATACATTTCCTACTGGGAAGGCAGGATATATGATCAGATCTTTCTTTTTTAATACCAATTTTTAGAGTAAGTTTTTTTTGATAGCCACTTCATGTGGTTTAAATAAATTTTTCTGTTCTTTTTCTTTTAGGGTCATAATGGATTCAGTATGTTTCAATCCACTGCAATCTTTATTTTTTTCTTTTTTCTTTTTTTAGATCCTCACCTGTACAATCATTTTTTAAAATGGTTTTATTCTCACTACTTTAGCCAGTGGGAGCTCAAGCTTGCTTCTCTATCTGACCCAACCTTTTAATTGTTGGTAGTACCCTTGCTTTCTGGCATTGCAAGATATACTCATATTATTTCTTTAGGAAAAAACAATCTTTTTCATTAAAAACATAAATGCAATATACTCTCTAGGAAGCATCGATACAAAGACATTGAAGGGAATTTATTATATTTTCACCAAACAAATAATATTGCCCTTGCCATCTTTCCCTGGCTGTGTCTGCCCATCCTAAGAAAATAAGCCAGTTCCTCAAACTCTGATTCCTTGTTCCTTTCTCCACTCTAACACACAGAAACCATTAGAGTTTGAATAGTTAGAGTATATGTGCTTCTTGATTTTCTTTAGGCCTAGTCTGATTCATTTGGACCCAGGCCACATGTACTGATTTAAAGAGTTGATTTTATTGAATTCGGTTTAGTCACTATGTATTTCTATTTTGCGTCCTCAGCAAAAAAGAAAAAAAAGAAATTTCATTATGTTGATAGCAAGTACCTCAAACTTGCTTGGTAATGATAGATGAGAAAGAGCATGTAGAAAAAAAACTTTATTTACCTATCCTTAGAGATAATACTGGATTTGAGTTTACAAAAATATTTCTCCTGCCAATTGTTCCCATTATTTAGGGTGCAAATAATATAAAGAAACAAAAACAAAAATGTCCTTCGGAGGAGGTGAACATTGAGGTCAGAAGGAGAATTCACAGAGAGGGATGCAGCCTAATGAAAGCACTTCTGGTTGTTTTTAATGAAGGACGGGAGCCCTCTGTTGGTGTTTTAGGAAAATTTAAAATTCAGTTTAAAAGCTTGGTTGAGAGGTTTAGGTTTTACCCATCTCTGCATATTCAATCTCAAAATAATTCCCTTCAAAGGGCCTGAGGCATGGGGCTTGTAGGTTCTTCAGGTTTCTGAAGAAGTCTTAATAGGATATGCTTTCTGTCATATCACACTAGTCTATATTTCCTGACTAAAGGAAGTTATATAGGTTATGAAGCGCATAAATTTTAGGTGTTTGATAATTATATAGTTTGGCAGTCTTAGACCTCTTACGTGGCAGAATCTGATATAGCAATCCATGTATCATTTCTTGTATATATCCCTTAAATGGTACATCTATCACTCTACTTGTTAATTTTTTGTTTTTGTTATTTCTTGAACATGAAAGTAATCACTGGGTTAGATTTTCTTACTGTATTGTTCTTTTCTTACAAACTTTTTTTTTTTAGTGGATTATCAAACACTTTTACGGGAAAGTCAAACCATCACTGCCATGCATCTGCATATGAAAAATCATTTCCTATTAAATCTGTCCCAAGTCCATCTTGGAGTGGTTCATGTCGTCGAAACCTTTTGAGCCCCAAGAAAACTCAGAGGCGACATGTTAGTACAGCAGAAGAGGTAAGGAAAACCTGCAACAAAAGCTATGGTTAGAATCTTTCCCTACATTCAGCCATTGGTGCCCTCCAATTTAGTTGTTTATTAACTGTTCTGTTTACTTAACCTTTTTTGTGATTTTCTTTCTTACTCTTTTTAAGTGCTGTCATCTGTTCTAAAGAAATTAAAGAGATATTTTAGTGTAGGACTTTATTATTTTTCTTACCATCCTCTGTTCCTGTTGGACAGTTGATTTAATCTTCATTATTATCTGAATACCTTCTCATACATCAAACTCTCTCTCTTCTCCCTTTTTTGGACCCTTTCTAAACTTTTGTTTCATGTGGCAAAACTGTTAACCTTGCTGGATTTGATAAAATACCCATGCTTACCTCTTACTAGGACAATTTTTCTCCAATATAAAAAATCAAGAAGCCAGCTAAATAATTTACATCCTTTTATTATAAGATCTCTGAGATCATAGATTCCCCCCCACCCCCGCAAGAGTTCTCTTGACACTTGGGTTATTAATTTAGTAAACCTAAAGGAAAAAAAAATCTATAAATATATTATAGCATGTAATTCATACAATAGGAAATGTGCTTGTACCTGTTCGGTTAAATGTTTATTATGCATCTAGTTGGCTCTGGACTGATTGCTGTGGAGATAGAGATGAATAATAATGACCTTACATTAATACAGCATTAGAGTTTCCAGCGTGCTTTCCACATTGTTTTTTTCCACGTTATTGTTTTGGGTCCTTTTAACCCTGTGATATAGGTAGAAATAAGATAATATCTACATTTTATAGATTTGGAGAGTAAAGGTCAGAGGTCATACAACTAGTAATTGGCTAGCTTGCAACCCAGGTCTTCTGAGGGATTCTGGTCTGGTGTGCTTTCTGATACACAGCCTGGTGATATGGTCCCTTCTCATTGGAGCTTACAGGTTGTGGAGTCAAGAATAATTATATGGTTTGGTAACAAAGATCTCTTAGGTGGCAAAACTTGATTATTTGTGACTTAGTAAAAATGCTATACATTCTTTTGGTTTAAAGTTGTTTGGAATCTAAACTATTCAATCAGAGGGTGGCAGAACTAGTAAATCATAGTAGGAAAAATGAAAGACAAGAAAGTGGCAAGAATTGGTGATAAGAGATGAGCAATACTTAGGAAAAAGACTTGTATTTCACTGAGCCTTTTGAATTGGGTTGGCCAAAAAGTTTGTTTGGTTTTTTTTCCTGCAAGATAGCTCTAGTAGTGCTTCATTGTCTTTAACTTCATTCAAAACAATTTTGTTAGATTGTATTGTGACAGCTGTTATATCAGTGTGCATTAAAAATAAACTTATCGAAATAGGTGAATTTTTGTGTAGATGGAAGAAAATTTTGAAGATGGAATATGCAACATTTTTGGCATATTATGCTTTATTATTTCAAGAAAGGTAAAAATGCAACTGAATTGCAAAGAAAGGTTTTTACAGTATATGGAAAAGGTGCTGTGACTGATAGAACATGTCAAAAGTGGTTTGTGAAGTTTCGTGTTGAAGATTTCTCACTGGATGATGCTCCATGGTTAGGTAGACCAGGTGAAGTTGATAGTGATCAAATCGAGACATTAATTGAGAATAACCAATGTTTTACCATGTGGGAGGTAGCCAACATATTCAAAATATCCAATTCAATAAAGTTTTCGGTGAAAATGGAAAATATGTATTTTATTTTACTGAAAAAACTAAATGGACTTTTTGGCCAACCCAGTACTATTGAATTTAGCACTGTGTATGTATTAGTTATTACAGACATAATTTTTTTTAAAAAATTACTGGAGTTGTGGGTTTATGCTTCTGCTGGAGCCTTGGCAGCCTACTGGGTAAGAGAGGCTTGTGGGGAAGGAGTCAGCAACAGCATGGCAGCTGGATACAGGACTGCCAACACTTCCCTGCACTGTGTGGCTGCGCCTGGGATTGCCAAGCTTCTTTAGACTGTGTGTGCTGTAAGCTCACCATTCACTTTCAAGCCAACCAGTCCTTTGGATCACTCAGCCTATTCTCTTTTTGCCTTCACTTCTAGCCTGAGGACTTGGGCTGGCTGGGCCACAGGTTGGGACAACAGAGGACAACAAGATAGGGTCCTCTTCCTTCTGCAGTGTCAAGAAGATGCCAGGGATGGAACCTATTCTATGAAAAAGAGATAAAGAAAATTTTGCCCCACTTGTTTTTAGGTCTATATTCTGTTATGAATAGTGGTAGTATGGAAGCATGAAACAACCCATATAATATGAATCAGAAAAAATATTGGATGAGGCTTTATTAAATCAAACTGTCAACACTTTAGTTAGGTATTTAGTCTTCATATTACAGGTTACCTAGATTAAAATATAATACTTCTTTCCCCTGGGACTAAATAATTTATTGATCGGAGCTTACACACTGGAGAAGTTATTTTCCCTGGAAATATTAGGATCTGCAAGGGAGTTGCAGTTGCTCATGTTAAATAAGGAAAATTATGTATTAATCTTACTCCTGGATTTGTCCATCACCTTCAGGAATATGGAGCCATCTGCAAAATTAACATGATGATGTCACCCTGCACTGTTCAGAGTTACAGCAGGGCTTTGAAGAGGATACATGAAAAAGAATTTGGAAATACGAAAGTGCTGACTGTACTACCACTTGGTTGATGGCTGACTCAAGGGCACCGTTATAAAAACTGTGCTATCCAGCCCTGGCTGGTGGTTCAGTGGATTGAGTGCCAGCCTGCAAACTGAAAGGTTGCTGGTTCGATTCCCAGTCAGGGCACATGCCTGGATTGCCAGCCCGGTCCCCAGCTGGGGATGTACAAGAGGCGCAACCAATCAGTGTGTCTTTCACACATTGATATTTCTCTTCCTTTCTTTCTCCCTCCCTTCCCCTGTCTCTGAAAATAAATAAAATCTTAAAAGAAAAAAAAGCTGTGCTATACGAAAGGGTAACCACTACACACGTGTGCTATTTAAAATAATTCAAATTAAATTTCAAAAAATTTAGTTTCTCAGTTATGTTAGCCGTATTTTTAAGTGTTCATTAAGTACATATGGCCGGTGACTACCACATTGGACACAGCAGATATAGAACATTTCTGTTACTTAAGAAGGTTCTGTTAGTGCAGTTAGAGGATGTGAATTTCAATTTAGAAAAGAGAAAATACTACAGGACAGTAAGAACATTAAGTGGTAAGTACACAAGCAGGTTCTTTTCAATTGTCTGTTGCTTCCGGACATGTTTTTCTGCCACATACTGAGCAACATTTTAAGGTGTTGGACTTTCTCAATAATGGCAGTGATGCTTTTATTCTTTTTTTTAAAAATGTCTTATAATAATTTTATAAATTAAGAATTTTGGACTTAAAAACAAAATTGTTGAGTATGTACCTTTCATGCTTGGAATTTATATTGTATAAAGCTATCACTTTAAACAAAATCTGGGGAAACAAGTTATTTGGGTAATTTATAAGAAAAGGATTTAGTGGTTTGCTAAAATTTATTTTGTGTTATCTGTTACACTTTTATAATTTTACAATTCATTTTTATGATGAAGCCAGTTACAGAAGCATCTGCATGCAAGAATCTGCCACATTGTTTTCTTCATAGAATTCAGCCCGTTATTATGCTTATGCTATTTTAAACTTTCCTTGGTCCTTTATTAGGCTTAACACTTAACAGCCAACTTTCTTTAACATATTATTCAATTATTGCTTCCTTTCCTTTTAATTTCCTAATTTGTTTATTTAATAGAAAACACTTTAATAAATAATGTGCAGAGGAAGATGTTTTCTTTTACTTTATAATACCAGATGCTCCCAAAAAGGATTATGTTTGCAGTTCAAGTGCCTTACCTCTTTACATTTTCTTTTGGTAAAGCCAAATGTTTATGTATGTTTTTTTGAGAGTTGTCTAGATGACTTATCTTTGTCTGAAACAGTTTTAAATGAACTATAATATACCCAATTTTTTGTTTTAATGAAGCCCCAAAAAGACAAGTACTTTTGCATCATTTTTTTAAAAGATAAATTCTTGTCACCTCCAAATTAACAAGTAGACAATGAAAAGTTCTTAACCTTATTCCTGTAATTTCTTTTTCAAGCCATAAATTAGTTTAAACAGAAAATATGAGGAGGCTCGAAGAGACCTCATATAAGTATTTAGAATATGGAACTTTTATTTCTGTTTATTTTATGTTGTCTTAATGACTGTGAGTTTGGGCTCATACAGAAGTTTTTCTTTGAAGATATATTAGAGAAAATGATTTTGGGGGGACTTTTATGTGTTAAATTGATTTTAAAAAATCAGTTTTCTACATTGAATTAATCTAAATTTCTCATAATTATATTACCTGAGTCACTTAATGGCACCTTGGTTCTTCATAAGTATAAAAATTTATTCAAAGGAAACATTTTGGTATGTAATGTGAGGGAGGAGGGAGGTATTCTTAATTTCTTGTAGTTGAAAGTCTTTAGGGTACCACAAACAAAGGACCTTTCTGTCTCACTGTTCTCAGTGTTCTCTTGAGGTCTTCATATGATGAGACTATTTCTTTACATTCCCTTTTTATGCAAAGTCACCTGTTAAAATTTATCTGCTTTTCTTTCCTTCCTAGATGTGATAATGGAGTCAAAGCTTTTTATTTTTATTTTTTAATTATATTTTATTGATTATGCTATTACAGTTGTTCTGATTTCCCCTCCTTTTTTCCTCTCCAACCAGCAAGCCCTACTCCCTCAGGCAATCCCTCCACCACTGTTCATGTCCGTGGGTCATGTGTTTAAGTTCTTTGGCTACTCCATTTCCTACACTGTATTTTACATCCCCATGGCTGTTGTATAACTACCTATTCGTACTTCTTAGTCCCCTCACCAATTCACCCATCCCCCCCCCACACACCCCTCTCATCTGGCAACCATCAAAACACTCTCTGTATCCATGATCCTTTGCCATTTTATTGTTCATAGTTTTGATCCTCTTCTTTTTCTTAAATAAGTCCCTCTATCATTTCATATAATAATAGTTTGGTGATGATGAACTCCTTTAGTTTTTTCTTGTCTGGGCAGCTCTTTATCTGCCCTTCAATTCTAAATGATAGCTTTCCTGGGTAGAGTCATCTTGGCTATAGGTCCTTGCTTTTCATGACTTAGAATATTTCTTGCCAATCCCTTCTAGCCTGCAAAGCTTCTTTTGAAAAATCAGCTGACAGTATTATGGAAACTCCTGTAGGTAACTAACTTCTTTTCTCTTGCTGCTTTTAAGATTCTCTATCTTTAAGCTTTGGCATTTTAATTATGATGTGTCTCAGAAGGAGCCCCTTTGCATCCATCTTGTTTGGGACTCTCGGTGTGTCCTGGAGTTGCATGTCTATTTCCTTCACCAAATTAGGGAAGTTTTCTTTCATTATTTTTTCAGGTAGATTTCCAGTTTCTTGCTCTTTCTTTTCTCGCACCTCTGTGATACGAATGTTGGACCTCTTAAAGTTGTCCCAGAGGCTGCTTACGCTATCCTCATTTCTCATCTTTTTGGATTCTTTTTTTCTTCTTCTGATTGGTTGTTTTTTTGCTTCCTTATGTCCCAGATCATTGATTTGATACTTGGCTTCATCCACTCTACTGTTGTTTCCCTGTAAGTTGTTCTTTATTTCAATTAGTGTATGCTTTGTGATAAAAAGACTGGACCTTTTTTATGCGGCTGATGTCCTCACTAAGTTCCTTCAGCATCCTTATAAACAGTGTTTTGAACTCTGCATCTGATAGATTGCTTATCCTCCTTTTGATTAGTTGTTTTTCTGGAGTTTTGAGCTGTTCTTTCATTTGGGCCATGTTTCTTTGTCTCCTCATTGTGGCAGCCTGCCTCTGTTTGTTTTTATGTATTAGGTAACCAAAGCAGGTAGAGCTGCTTTGGTAGTGTGGCTTAATGTAGTAGGTGTCTTGTAGGGTCCATTGGCACAGCCTTCCCATCACCCAAGCTGGGTACTCGAGGTGCGCCCTTGGTGTGGGCTGAGTATATCCTCATGTTGTAGTTGAGCCTCAGTTGCTGTTGGCAGATCAATGGGAGGGATTTACCAGGCCAGTCAGCTACAAGGACTGGCTGTGACCTCTGACCACCAACGTATGCCCTCTGTGGAGGATCAGCTGTGCAGAGGTAAAGTGGTGGTGCTCCCAAAGCTTTTTAAAATCTAGTTTGGTGGGACAGTGGAAATGAACTAAAATGACTGGTTAATTAAGAGTTAATGTCTCTTCAAAGGAAAGGTGGAAATGGGGATATGTGTAAACTGTGTGTTAACAATAGAAAAAAGAGTTAATATCTCTTACAGTCTACAGACTATCTACTTAAAGAATCTTCGTGAGAGCCAGTTCAGGTTTTAATAAGGAGGCATTTATTTTAACTATGGATTTTAAATTAGTTTCTCACATCCTTATATCTTCAGTAGATTAGCCAAAAACAGATTTGGTCATTGATTTTAATTTACCCCTGGTAATTTTATTTTTCTAACCAATTCAAACTTAATTTTTGTTCTGTCACTGAAGCACCTGCCTGATATTATAGACAGTTTTATCACAAATACTAGAAAAGAGGACTGCTATCGTCATGAACATAATATTAATGTCTAAGTGATAAAATAATGAGATTTCTTTTATTTTTTTAAATTGTAAAACAGCTCTTATGGAGGCATAATTTAAATCCGAACAAGGGTTCTAATTTCTCCACACCTTCCGCAGTACTTGTTATGGCTCTCCTAGAGGGGGTGAAGTGAAATTGTTTGTTTTTAAGATTTTATTTATTTGTTTTTAGATAGAAGGGAAGAGAGGGGGAATGAGAGAGAGAAAAACATCAATGTATGGTTGCATTTTGCACGCCCCCAACCAGGGAACCAGCTGGCAACTCAGGCACGGGCCCTAACTGGGAATTGAACTGGAGACCCTTTGGTTCACAGGATGGCACTTAATCCTCTGAGCCACACCAGCCAGGGCAGGGTTTTTTTGTTTTTGTTTTTGTTTTAAATTGATTATGCTATTACAGTTGTCCCAATTTTTCCCTTTTTGCCCCCTCCACCCAGCACACCCCACTCCCTCAGGGAATCCCCACACCTCTGTTCATGTCCACGGGTCATGCATATAAGTTCTGTGGGTATTCCATTTCCTGTACTCTACTTTACATCCCCATGGCTGTCCTGTAACAGAGAACATTACACATTTGTTTTTTTCTCATGGGTCTATTTTTTCACTGAATGGTTTCAACTAGTTCTACCTTATCTTACCACTCAAATTTACTATTCAAATTTAAGGATACCTTTACATTTAGGAATTGTCATGCCTCACAGTTCAAGGTTTATCTTGTTAGATCAGTAACATATTGACAATATAATTGAAATTTACTATACGGCAAAAAATGAATCAAGAAGAAAAAAAATTAGTCTCTTTACTTTTGCATAGATCATTGCTTAGTTCATCCTGACTTTAACAAACATTTGTAAGAAAAAAATGCTAATGTGCATATTGAAATGGTACAGTGCAAGATGCTGTTATCCCTGGCACAAAGTATTATAATTATTATGTGAAGATTGGTGGTTGTATTAAACTGTACATAGGGTTTAAAGGGAAAAATAGAGAGGGCATATTATTTAGTAAATGCAACCCATTGCTTTAGGGCAGCGATTTTCAACCGATGTACCGCAAGAATTTTTAAAACATGTAATGCCTGGCTATTTAGTTAGGGGCACTGGCCTCTTTTCCCTTAGATAGTCAAATAAAAAAATGACAACAGCCAACACAACAATAGCTGCCTGGTATGAATGCTGTCTTGAACCATAAGTATATAGGTCATATAATAGAGTTGCATCTTACTGGCCACATCACATAAGGTTGTGTCTGATTGGTTAATTCTTGGTACCAGAAATCCTTATATACAGGTGTAGGCACCTGATTTGTTTTTAAAAAATCACTTTGGAGTAAAAAGGATAGGTAATTACTATTAGGGTTGTTTTTTGGAGGGGGTGTAAATCAGTCAAAATTATGCCCTTTTTTTGGTCTGATCAAAATATATATACATTTTTGGCATTCTGCAGAATTTTATTAATTAGTTTTTGTGTGCCATGAGATGAAAAAGGTTGAAAATCGCTGCTTTAGGGGATCTATACAGAGTAGATGCTTGACAATGGTTACAAGTCCTTATGCAATCTGGTTCTCTAAGTGATCTCATTTCTTACTATTCTGATTCATACTGACCTTTCTGCTCCTTGAACACATTAAAGCATATTCTTGTGTCAGGGCTTTTGCATATGCTATTCCTTTGTCTGGCGTACTCTTACAAATATCTTTGACTGACTTCCTCCCTTAATTTAGGTTCTATTGAAAGGTCACTGTTTAAGAGAGGTCTTAACCTGTTCCGCTGTTGCCCTTTCATTGCCTTCTATAATTTTGTTCATAGTCTTACCTATCATTTTGTTTATACTACCTGGCTAGTTTTTTTGTTTTTCAATCCTTTAGCTGTAATGTAAGCTCCACAAGGGCAGGAACTTTATCTTATTCAATGCAATATTTCTAGTGTCTCTAACATAGTCAGTATTTAAATAAATAAATGAATCTCTGGAGCATATGTTTTCCCCTAAGTTCAGTATTAGGAGTTAAGAAAAATAAACGTGTTGGAGATAAAAACTATCTCTGGAAAATACACTATAAAAATCTAATGGCATAGAAAACTATTAGCAAGGTACTGCACTCAGATCTTGACTGTTCTGATTACTTCTTTGTGATTTTTCTATCAAGTATCAAGAATCAGGGGTTTTTTAAAATTCTTAATTTGGAGGTCATCAAATGTTTTGTTACTGGGACTCTATTAATTAACTTAGAAGTGGTTGCCAGTTGGCCTTCTGGTTTCATATCCTGTAGTTTCTTTGCATTATTATTTACATATATGTTCCATAATTTTCCAAAATATACTATGTGGTATTTACTTCAATAAACTTCTCTTATATCTACTTTATAATTTTCTAGAATATCCTTAATGAACCGTAATTTTTAATTATCTTGAGGACTCTGCTTGAGCTCTGGCAGGGCTTTTGGTAATCTAGATGCTACTTTGGGAAACACTTGCCTTATTGGATGTGTTTAAGACTTGTTTTTTTTTTTTAATAGACAGTTCAAGAAGAAGAAAAAGAGATCTACAGACAGCTGCTACAGATGGTCACAGGAAAACAGTTTTCTGTAGCCAAACCCACCACACATTTTCCTTTACATCTGTGAGTCACAGAAACATATTTCAAATGAGTTTAATTCTACATGTGTTATATGATATTGAAACTATATTTTTCTCTTGCTCTAGATCTCGATGTCTTAGTTCCAGTAAGAATACTTTGAAAGACCCACTGTTTAAAAATGGAAACTCATGTGCAGCTCAGATTATTGGCTCTGATTCTTCATCATCTGGATCTGCCAGCATTTTGACTACCCAGGAACAACTGTCCCACAGTGTATATTCCTTATCGTCTTATACTCCAGATGTTTCATTAGGATCCAAAGAGTCTGATCCTCTCCATCAACTCCAGCATCACCACTCTTTTCCACATCAGCCAGATAACTTATCAGTTTCAGATGCACAATCCAAAGGTAAAAATGGTACTGTATAACTATATTTTCAATGTACTTTAACTGTATTTTCTCATAGCCAATTTATTGGATCTATGTGGATTGTAACACAAGGTTGTAAGGCATATGTAACTTAATTAACACATTAATACCTTAAATACATATATCTCACTTATCCATGCAGTGAGTAAATGTATAAGTAACTTTTTTCTTATGTGAAAATGCAAATTATTTCATACAGTATTTAATTTTTTAAAAAAGATTTTACTTACTTTTAGAGGGGAAAGGAGGGAGAGAGAGAGGGAGAGAAACATCAATCTGCAAGAACTGGGGACCTTTCAGTTCGCAGGCTGGCACTCAGTCCACTGATCCACACCATCCAGGGCTCATACAGTATTTAAAAGTTTACCTTCCTAAGCAGAGTCTAGAGTCAATTTATATTAAGCTCAATTACTTCAGTGCTTTCTCTGTTTTTAGTACTTTTACAATGAAAAGTACAGTTGACTCTTGAACAATGTGGGAGTTAGGTGGCGCTGACTGCCTCTGCCCCGTGCACTCGAAAATCCATGAGCAACTTTTAACTCCCCCAAAGCTTGACTCCTAATGGCCTCTTGTTGACTGGAAGCCTTGCTGATATATAGTTGATTAATACATATTTTGCATATTATATACCGTATCCTTATAATAAAGTAAGCTTAGAAAAAATGTGTTTTAGAAAATCATATGGAAGAGAAAATACATTCACAATATTTACTTTTTAAAAAATCCACATGTAAGTGGACTGGTGTAGTTGAAACCCATGTTGTTGAAGTGTCATCTGTACTCTGATATTCTAAGAATTTTGGAAAATCAATAAAATATTAAACTTTTTTATAATTAAAAAAAATTTTTATTGTTCAATAAGAGTTATCCCCATTTCCCCCTATTGCTCTCCCCTGCTCTGCCCACTCCCCTGAAGTAAAAGTTCTTAATCAGGTAATACTTACAAAACCTGTATAATGCATTTATACATTTTAGAATGGTTGTCAGCAAGTTTTTTTCATTAACTTTCAGCTAATGAAAACATTCCATTTCTTAATATTCTAGTTAATTAAGGTTTTGCTATGATAATTTTTCTCTTTGCTTAGTTTCCCTTTTAGGTATGTATTATATGTATATTTTTGGTATGTATTTAGGTATGTAACTTAAAACAAATTTTAGGTTAAGTTAGATATTAGTGATCTTTTGATAGATCCATCTCTAAGGCTCTCCTTCCTCAGTTTATTTCATTTTTTTCTAACCTATTTCTCAGTTTCTTAAAATTCTCACTGGGGAATTAAAATTGTTGGTGACATCATTATATAGCTACACATATTCATGAAAATTTGTATTACATTTTGTGAGGTGATTAATGAGAACTGAAATTTTGTAAAAATGCCTTTAACCTTAGAAACAAATGTTATATGGCAGATGCTTAGATACACCTAAACTGGGACAAATGTACTACATCAAACTGTGTGATTACTTTCCTTGTATTATATAATGAGTATTTTAAGTAAGGTTTTAATCATAGTGCTTTAGAAGAACATGAATCTTGCCTTTATCACACAGAAAATAAATGATACAATGAAAGAATTTGTACTTTTTGACTCTGCTACTTTTCCTATAGCTGTTTCTTTCTGCTTTCTTTTCCCTTCCCTTCTCCCTCCCCTTCCCCTTTACCTCTTTCTTCGCCTTTGCTCTTTCACCATATTCAGTCTCATGATAGTTAATGAACTAAAGACTTTTGAGATATCTTGGCATGTTCTTGTTCTCGAGAAACAGAAAGAGGAAGCACAGGGAACAAGGACAGCCCAGGAATAGAGGCTGAAGATATATATTCTTGTGTTTCAGAGTGACTTCTTTATTTGTGAGGCAAGCTCTTCACTAAGCCCCATTCTTGGCTCAGTGAACATGGATCTGCTGCCTCTCTTTCTCTTCCATCTTATCTTTATCTTTATACTGTATTGTTTTTATGGAAATAGAGCATAACAAAGTATGGGAACTTAAACTATGGACATCTAGAATGTGTAACTGTGTGGGATTTTATCAGTAATGATATGCTCTGTGTTTCTTTGTTTAGGATCAGACTCTGTGATTTTACTCAAAGTGCAAGATTCCCATACTCCAACTCCCAGGTAAACTTTGGAAAAGGGACATTATTAACATAGTTTTCTCCCCTCTTTAATTACAGGTTCTTTAGTAATAGTTATGCAATATAAAACTAAAACTGCCTCAATTCAGATCTCTCTCATGTGTTGTTTGAATTATTTCAATAACTCTGTGAGCGGTTTCCTTTCTCCAGCCTCCATTTTGTTCTTCATTCCATCTTCCACTGTGTTCTCAAATCTATTCTTTGCATTGTTCTTCAGTCCATCTTTCATTTTATAACCAGCGACCTTAAATGCATAGCTGATCATTCATTAAACTCCCTCAGGGGTGGCTTGTCAGACAGAGAATCAAGCCTAAACTTCTTAGTATGGTATACAAAGCACTTTCTTCATAAATCATGCTTCCTGTCACACATTCGTTCCTTTAACAGGTACTTACTAATAGCCTATTGTGTGCCAGGTGCTAGTACAGACATTGGGGACAATAGTAGTGAACAAAATTAAATCTCTTCTCTCAGGCAGTTTACATTCATGGTATTGTTCTAAGTTGATACAGTTTCCTTTGCACTCTACCCTTTAGCTGCTAGAGAATTTGATTCGTCCAAATCTAGAATATTTCCAGGAGTGTGGCAGGGCTGGAGTGAACTAGAGGTTAGGATGGGTGACTTGAAATCTACACACTTATATTTAATTGAAGAGTATGCAGCTCTAGTTAGTAGTCTGTAAATACTGAATATGAATAATCAGATAAAACACTTCCTAGTATAAAGAAACCAATAAATTTTATTTTTATGGTACATTAAAGTAAAATTCAGATAAAAATTTTAAGTTACAGCATAGCCAGAGTAACCATTTAATAGCTATGTATAAATCTATTATAGAGATGTACAAGCATAAATTATGGAATGCCAGAACAAGTTGATTTAGGCTGCTTTTTCTCTAATATAAAGAATGCAGAGTGCTGCAAAAATTCAAGTACGCTTAATTGAACATAATTAAAATATTGGAATGTGTTTTGAAAACAAGTAGTTAGAAGTACCTGCAATACTAATTCAAAGTGACAATCATATGGTGACTAACCCAGTATTTTTGCTTTAAGGTACGCTAATAAAATTTGCATTTAAGCCCTGTCTGGTGTGGTTCAGTGGATTGAGCACTGGCCTGAGAACCAAAAGGTTGCAGGTTTGATTCCCAGTCAGGGCACATGCCTGGGTTGTGGGCCAGGTCCCCAGTTGGGAGCAAGAGAGAGGCAACCAATTGATATCTCTCTCACACATTGCAGTTTCTCTCCTCTTTCTATCTCCCTTCCCTCTCTCTAAAAGTAAATAAATAATGTCTTTTTAAAAAATTTCATTTAATAAGAAAAAAAAGAACTTCCATTCTAGTTGTAAGTAAGGGGAGGGGTGGGGGACAAATAGTAAACAAATAAATAAACTAACACATATGCCCGGTGGTGATAATGCTGTGAAAAAAATAAAGCAGGGTAATAGACTGGTAAATGTTATTTATCTAGGATGGTCATGGCAAGTCTCTGATAAGGTGACAGTTCAGAGACACGGCAAGTGAGAGAAGGAGCCATATGGAAATATGGGACTCTTTCACATGTTTATTATATGCTAAACTTTAACATGATAATGTATTTTCTTACCTTCACAGTCCATGTTCTTCCTGTTGGTATATCCTTCCTACCTCAACTTGTCTGTCTGGCAGTAGTTGCTTTCTTAAGCCTCAATTCAGATGTGATCTCCTACATGAAACTTGACTCCTCTGGGTGGTATCGAGTACTTCTTCTTCTGTGATCCAATAGGCTACTACTTAGATTGCTGTGTCTCCCATGTATTGCCTTAAAGTTAACTGCTAGGGTGATAATAGTATCAGTTTTCCATAAAGAAGATTAGTGGTAATAAAATGTTTTTTTCTCATCTCTGCCCTCCCTACTTCTTTGAAACTCCCCTTTACATTTCCAAACTTAAGATATTTAAACAATTCTCTACTTGTTATTGTTTCTCAAGAACACTTTACAGTTTGGATTCTTTATTCTTCATTTATTTTATTTTATTTTAGAGCCAGACCTAAGTTCTGATCTTGTCTTTTCTAGGCTTCACGTAACTTTGGACAAGTTACCCTTCTGAATTTTAGTTTTCTTATCAGTAAACTGCCAGTATTAATACCTTACTGTTGAATTGTTGTGAAGATTAACTTACAGATAAAGCACTTATAAAAGTGTTCCACATGTAGTATACAAAAATAGGTATTCTTTCTTGGGAGAAAGTTGATCTCATCTAAAGAATGCTTTCAGTTCTGTAATGGTTTTGTTTTATTAAGTCTGCCTTTCCTTTCTGGAAGATTTCTCTTCGATCTATTCCCAGATAGCTGAAGAATGAGATGGAAGGAGAAATGGTATATTGGGCAAAACTGATTGGATAGTGCTCTTTATGGAAATTGGTGGTTACTCTCATAGGCTTGGTTGATTGACTCTTTATCTTTTTTTTTTTTTTTTTTTTTTAAATTCTCACCTGAGGAAATGCCCACTGGTTTTAGAGAGACAGGGAAAGGGAGGACAAGAGGTGGGGAGAGAAACATCCATAGGTAGTCCCTTGTACATGTCCCAACTAGGGGACCAAACCTACCACCTAGCCACTTGCCCTGACTGGGAATTAAATCTGTGACCTTCTGGTTTCACAGGATGACGCTTCAACCACCTGAGCCATACCAGCCAGGGCTAGCTCTTTATTCTTAATCTCTATCAGCAATGAGGATTTGCCCTTATTTCCCAGAATATGCCATGCCATTTCATGTCTCTGTGCTATTTTACATTCTGATCCTTCTTCCCGGAATTCCTTTTTTCTCCTTATTCAGTTGTTAAACTCTTACGTTGCTTTTTAAAATCTATCTCAGATGTTAGTTTTTCTCTGACTTCTCCAGGTAGCATTAGTCTTTCCTTTGAGCATTTCTGTCACTGTACCCTGTTGGTTACTAACACCTTTGCATATCACCCAGGGCCAATCATAGTGCCTGACACATCATGGGAACTTAGCAAATAAATCTTTGTTAAATAAATGAATTTCCTAGAAAGCCTGCAGTGCTTTCTTGAGTAGTTCAAATGCTCATCATCTTCATTTTGCTTTGATGCTTTGGTTTATTAAAAGGCACTTTACAAAATAGAAGAACACAGTCTTTGGAATTGGCTCTAATCCTGGTTCAATTTCCTTTTCTGTATCATATGAATAAATAATTCCTTATTATCTATTATTGAGGTTTAATTAATATATGAGGATTATCATGAAACTTAATACGTATTATAATACACCTACAGCAGAGTTTTACACATTGAACATTACGTATGTGTTCGGTAAGCAGATGTAGTTATTGTATACTTCAATTGTATGAGAAATAATATATAATCCTTTTGAAAAGCAAAGAGATTTTGCTTTCCTAAGCCAGGAGATACCCAATCCATTGAAGAGACGTGCTTGTCCCTTACAGTATTCATTTGTTTAATGAATATTGAATGCCTGCTGTGCCAGGTACTGTTTTTGGTGCAGAGGATACAGTAGTAAATTAAAAGACAAATTTTGTCCTTGTGAGGTTTATATTCTAATATAGGAAGTAAACAAATGGGAATAGCATGACCTAATATTATGCATTTCTGGGTATTTCTCGTCTACTTTTTATATTGTACAGTAAATGTGTTCTCATGTTTTTAGTATCATACACTAAGTAGCTCCTTACTGCTACCACTGATCTCTGTGGCTTTCTGTGTTGGTTGTTACGTCATTTGTTCACTGCACCAAGGAGATAGGCTACATCCTCTTATGTTCTCCCTTTATTAACCTCGGTGATGGTGGGAGACAATAGAATAGTATTTTCATTGTGAAACTCCAGCCTTATGATGATTAAGAATACTAATTCTCAAGTTAGGCTAAGGAGCAATAAGAAGGGATACCCTCTGAGCCTTTTTTTTTAACCTTCACTAGGACAGAGTGTAGAGATTTAAGAATTGAAAGGGACTCTAATCTCCAGATTTTATAAATCCTAAAATTAAGTTTCATGGAAATGACTTGCTCAAAGTGACAATCTAATCAGGGACAGCCCCAGGAGTTCTAGGTCTCTTAACTCCCAACTTGATGTTCTGTTTCTTTGTTCTACATATCTAAAATTTTCTTTGGAAAAAGAGTTTACTCTTTTGTTTCTGTGAGAGATCCTTCAGTTAGGGCTTGGCAAGGAGATGAGAGAGTTTGAGAAGAGCAAAAGGCCCTAAGAAGTAGAGTTAACATGCCTGTGACTGGCATAGAATTGATCTCTGACCTTTGAAATGGAGTTGTGTTGCTGAGTTTCTGCTTTGGTTCATTCACGGACTCATTAGCTGTTTGATATGGATTGTTTGGTGGGGATTTTCAGTATCAGCTTCAGTTTGGTTGAATATATATATTTTTGTTGTTGCAAATACACTTTTTAAAAATGTCAAGCTGCTTTTTTCCCCCCCAACTGTAGTTGACATTCAATGCTGTGTTAGTTTCAGGTGTACAGCATAGTGGTTAGACGTTTATGTAACTTGAGAGGTGATTCCCCTGATAAGTCTTGTACCCCCTTGACACCATACATAGCTATTACAGTGTTACTGATTATATTCCCTATGCTGTACTTTACATCCCCATGACAATTTCATAATTGCCAATTTGTACTTCTTAACCCCTTTACCTATTCAGTCTGTCCCCCAAACCCCCTCCCACCTATCCACCATCTGTTTGTTTTCTCTGTCTCTGACTTTGTTTCTGTTTTGTTTGTTGGTTAAATATATTTTGATTCAAGTAGACTGACAAGAAGTCTAAAAACCTGTAAGGTTTGATTAAATCATTAATAAAGCTATCAGTCTGAAACATTTGGGGAGAGTAATATTTTAGTTTAATGTATTATCTTGACAAGCAATGTACTCTTGCACATAATGTTGGTCTCTCATGCAAGTAAGGAGCTATGCTAAACAATTTCTCTGTTGAACTTTGAGTCATTTTTTTAACTATAGTACAGGTATAGAAGCAAGTAGAAAAGTAAGAAACAATAATTTGACAATTGCATTTAGAAGGGTTTCTTGACTGGAGAATGTCCACCAAGTACAAAAACAGTTTTGCTGAAATCAGTAGGATGAGACACAAGAGAGGTAGCTTCATTTGTCAGAATATCTCTTGATGCAAAAACTCAGAGCTGGCAAAGAGCATGAGTCATAAATGACTCTATGAGGGTCTGACCTCATCTGTTTAGGAATTCCTCTTTACTCTGATGTCCAGGGGCAGGACATGTTTGCCAGGCAAATTACTGCTATATTCTTGTTGAGAGGAGCTGCATTTTGTGTGTGTCTGAAAATGTACCTGAATATCATATTGGTACTTCTGCATAAAAGCAGGGACATAACCCAGTCAACTGTCTGCAAGTTCAGAAATCTCAGCCTTATTTCACAGTGGGTTGGAGCCAGCTCACAACTCATAAGAGATAATAGAATTTTGAGAGCTGGTTATTAAACACAGCCATTATTTCAAAATTAAATTCTATAAACTTACAATTATATTGAAAACAAAGATAAGTATTCAAAAGTCATCATTTTCTACTCACTGTTATCTATGTTCTTAAGGTATCATAGCTGAGTGGTGGAAATACTGCAGAATGATGTGCTACTGCACATCTCTTCCTAACTCCACATTCAGCGATATCATGTTGGTAGGTTGAAATGAGCCATGGTGGGAACATTTACATAACAGAAAATTCCCACACCACCAATCAAGGCTTAACTTGTTATTTTGTTGATGGACTTGTCTTAAGAAAGTAATGGAGAAAATGTCAGTAATGCCAATTAAAAGTGTGTTGTGTGTGCAGTGATTACATTGTGAATAGCACAGTAGATTGAAAGTAAATTCTTCTAGTATTCAAAAGCTGTTACCTGATTCAACAAAGAAGCTGCTCACATTATTATTGACAAAGGACTGAAGTCAAGTTACTTGTGTCCTTGTTGTTTCACTTTCATCTTGCTAACTTAAATGAAACTATCAACCACCTTGCATGTTGGACTGGTACTTACTTGTCATTTGCCACCAAAGGTTGCTATGGATACAGAAGTTTGACAAAAATTAAGGAGTGCATTCTGTAAGAATCAATTGTAATGCAATCAATAAAGTATTTTATTATGAAAAAAATATGTATGCAAATGACTTATTTGTATTTCTTTAGTTCCCAATTACAATTTTATGTAAGTTAGGTTTTTGAAGTTATCCATACTTCTAAAGCATTCTTGTAAATTGTTAAATGATTGATTTTTTCTTGGCAACAATATTTGAATTTTCTCATAATTCTGTTCATTTGTCACATTTTTCTTTTTCCACCCGTAGTCCTACTTTTTTCCAGGCAGAGCTGTGGATCAAAGAATTGTAAGTTATTAATTTTAGTATCATTTTTTCCTTCTCCATCACATCCTAATTTCATTTAGAAGAAAACAATTAACCAATCATTCTATCTATAGTTAGTAAAAACTCCCTATTTATAGCTGCTTATAAGACAACTTTTCAGTTATTGGGTTTTAAAATTCTATTGGTGTTAGGACATTTCAATGCTCAGGTTTATTAAATCTGTAACAGTTGTTGAAGCTAACTTGAGTTGGAGAAATATTTCAAAATTAGCAATTATTCAGAGAGGATAATAAATGCCCTTATTTTCACATGGATAAAACTAACTTATTGACCAATTTCTATTTCTGGAGTTTACAGAATTACCAAAAGTTCTTAGTCTTCAATTTTAAGAACTTACTTTAAATTATCCAAACCTCAGGTCTTGATTTTTTTTAAAGAAAAAGTAGACCCATACTGTTCCTTTGATTCATAAATACAGTATTTGAATTAAAACTTCAATGATGTTTTATGTTTTCTCCTTTGGGATTCAGTCTCATTTTTGGATTTCCAAAATAAAGCTTAATTTTCTCATAATCTTAGAAGTATGAAAAAAAAGACTGCACATTTACAAATATCCATGAAAGTCATCTGTTCACATTTGGCAAGAAACTAATTTTTATCATTTCAGTAAAAACAGAATAATTTCAATAACACCATGTGGTTCCATTCTGCCTCAATACAATTGTAGCATTGTTAGTGTAAGGATTTTAGACTTCATATATGAGAGTTTTATATTTATTGCTCAATGTACATCAATAATGAGCTGATGCTAAGAGAGTGGTCTTGCATTTATGTCACATTCCTTTTCTAGAACTAGTGTTTATGATTCTCGAGCGCGGGAAAGATTGCGCCAGATTGAAGAGCAAAAGGCACTGGCATTACAGCTTCAAAACCAGGTAAAAAAAAACTGGGATAAGGTTATAATTAAATAGCATATCCAAGTTGAAACTAATTTGAAAGGTTACATATATTTGGGGTCAAAGCTGTTAAAATTGCAAGAAAATACGGTACCGTAGCATTGTATGTACTTACTATTTATCTGTCTATCTGTCTATTGATCTATCCAGCTAGTACTACTCAGTTTACATAGAGAGAGAACATATCTCTTTATCCCACTTATTCTCAAATTCTGTCTTTCAGAGATTGCAGGAACAGGAACAATCAGTACATGATTCAGTGGAACTGCGCCTTCGTGTACCTCTTGAAAAGGAGATCCCTGTCACAATCGCCCAAGAAGCAGAAAAAAAAGGTCGTAAATTAACTGATAGTGAAGATGAATTTCCTGAAATCACAGAGGTAAATTACGTAATATAAATTTCTGCACTAGCAAGTGTTGTGTTTAGAAAGAATGCTTTAGATGAACTTAAAACATAAAAATAACAGAGCCTGTGGTATTTAAATTATATTGCTTATGCCAGAGGGGAGGGAAGTTGGGGGACTGGATGAAAAAGGTGAAGGGATTGAGAAGCAAATTGGTAGTTACAGAATAGTCATGGGGATGTTAAGTACAGCATAGGGAATATAGTCAATATTGTAATTCTGTATGGTGCCAGGTGGGTACTGGCAATATCAGGAGAGGGGGGTTATAACACTTTGTAAAGTATATGATTGTCCAATGACTATGCTGTACACCTGGTATTAATATAAAATAATATTGAATATAAACTGTAATTGAAAAATAAAATTTAGTTCTGACCAGTGTGGCTCATTTGGTTGGGTATTGGATCACAAAACGAAAGGTCAGCGATTGGATTACTTGTCAACTCACATGCCTCGGTTGTGGGTTAGGTCCCTGGACAAGGCACATGTGAGAAGTAACTGATCAATGTTTCTCCCACTTTCTCCTTTTCTCTTTCTCTAAAAATAAATAAATCTTAACCAAAAAAAAGTAAAAAAAAAAGTAAAAAGTTGTTTTGCATATTCCTGCTTTCATTTGTGTTACAGCCCAATATTGGTTTTATTTTTGAATGATTATTGAACATTGAGGAAAGAATTATGGGTGGCTTTTTGCAACTTCAGTGAAAAGCATTTAACAAATTTGTGTTTCATTTCATGTTCAGTAAGCTAAGCTTACTATTTTTGTAAGTAATAAAAACTTGGTATAAAATTCAGAAGGTACATAAGGTCTATATACATTTTAAAGTAATCTGTTTCTTAATTTAGTCTTTTGTTTGAAAAACTCACATAGTTGGTGATTATAACACATATGGTTGTGCTGAATTCCATGTTTTACATTAAAAAAGAACAAAAGAAAAATCCAGGAAAATGTATCTAAAAGAGACTACCTTTACCTCCTTCCTACTTTTTGGGAAACATTCTATTTCTCAGGAAATTGGATCAAAAATATAAAATATAATTAGATCTTCTCATAGTCTTAGAAAATTTGATAGCAGGAATAACATGAAACAAAGGTCTGAACTGTTGTGCTGAAAGAGAGAAGGGAGGACAAGGCGGGATAGGATGCAATCGAAGATGACTTCTGGAAGGAACAGATAGCAAAATGTTAGAAGTACACAGTTGCTTAATAATAAATAGTCTGGGAATGTGTGGGGCTTGGTGAGAAATGAGGTGTGTCTGAAGCAATGTATGTTTAAATCTCCAATACCTCTTGGTTCTCTAGGAAATGGAGAAAGAAATAAAGAATGTATTTCGTAATGGGAACCAGGATGAAGTTCTAAGTGAAGCATTCCGCTTGACTATTACACGCAAAGATATCCAAACTCTAAACCATCTGAACTGGCTCAATGATGAGGTAATCTTGCACCCATTTTTATTTTCAAACAGTAAGTGAACATTAAGTGGAAACTAAAGGCATGCATTGGCTGGTGTGGCTCAGTGAATGGAATGCTGGCCTGTGAACAGAAAGGTCACTGATTCTGTTCCTCGTCCGGGCACGTGTGTAGGTTGCAGGCCAGGTCCACAGTTGGGGGCATGCAAGAGGCAACTGATTGATGTTTCTCTGGCCCAGCGATGTTTCTCTCCCTCTGTTTCTCCTTCCTTCCCCCCTCTCTAAAAATAAATGAAATCTTTAAAAAAATGAAATATTTAAAAAATATTTATTTATATATATTTTCAATTTATATATATAAAACTAAAGGCATTATTTCACTGTTTCTCTAAATGGATGGCCTGGTTCAGAATCAGCTGTCACAGGCTTCTCAGTTCTCCTTAATAAATATGAAGCAGTGTGGTAGAGATACGCATTAAAAAAAAAAAATGCCAGGTGATTTTTATATGCTTTAAAGTCTGATTTAACTTCAAGTCTGAGAGCTGCCGATTTACCTTTTATATATTGACATTTTGGACACTGAGGGAGAGGACATTTACTCATTAGTATTGTCACTGTCTTTAAGGCACTTACCCTTCAACTCACATATTCAGAGAAAATACTTGATAGCTGACCAAGTTGTAGTATGAAGGAATACTTTCCATGTACAGTTCCATTTCTACTTCCCCTTCTATCTCTGCTTGTTCGAGGTCACTTAGGTTATCAGTTATAAGCTTTCTAATATAGCCTATTTTTAAAACTGACATTGAAAAAGTTACATTATTAAATATTTAATATATTGAGTTAAAAAAAGTAATGGCCCTCAGCTTTTGAGAGTTCTAATTATTTTAAGTAACTTGATTACTCTACAGTCTTTAAACTGATGTGTCCTAGTCATATACCTGTAGGAGCTTGTTTTATTTTAGAAGGATATTTTCACAGCAAAAGAAGAAAATAGCTTGCATTTTTTCCTTAGTACCTGCCTCCCATTTTAGGTCCACTAGCAACATTCCTGCCCGATATTTTTGGGTGTGCTCAGGCTTCCCAGCTATGGAGGATTTTTAGATACTCAGTGTAGAAAGCAATAAGTAGTCTAGATACCTAATTCTAGTCTTGTTTGCTAAGGAACTTCCAATATTGGTTTGGCCAAAAAGCCCATATGGTTTTTTTCATAAAATAAAAGACATATTTTTTTTACCAATAACTATTGATTTGGATATTTTGAGTATGTCGGCTACCTGCCACATGGTAGAACATTAATTATTCTCAATTAATGTATTGATTTGATCGCTATCAACTTCAGCTGGTCTACCTGACCATGAAGCACCAACCAGTATGAAATCTCCAGCACAGAACTTTGCAAACCACTTCTGACATGTTCGATCAGTCACAGCATCTTCTCCATACACTGCACAAATCTTTTTTTGTGTTTCACTTGCGTTTTTTCCTTTATTAAAATAATAAAGCATAATATGCCAGTAATGTGTATTTTCTTCCATCTTCAAAATTAAAATGGCTACACAAAAATTGACCTATTTTGATAAGTATTTTTGAAATGCATGCTGATATGACAGTTGTCACAATACAGTCTAACAGAATTGTTTCAAATGAAGTTAAAGACAACTAAGCACTATTAGAGTCATCTTACGGAAAAAAACAAACGAACTTTTGGGCCAACCCAATAATAATATTGGCTAACATCTGTTGAGCATTTACCCGATGTTAGATACTGTTCTAGTGTTTTATGTTTTCTTTTCACGTAATGGTCACCGCAACCCTTGGAAGTAGATTCTGTAATTTTATCATCTCTATTTTATAGATGAAGAAACAAGGCATAGAAAGGTTAAGAAACTTGTAGGGTTACATGACTAGTAAGTAGCAGAGACAGGATTTATACCCAAGCAGCAATGCATTATATTATGTATCTTATGTATTATATCATACCATCTCAGAATTTTAAATTGGATCCTGTTTTAGGATGAGAGATATGGATTTTGAGAGCCATATTTCATGTCCAACGTGTTGATTTTTTTCTGGAGCCAGCTGGACTAGCCCTGTTCTCTTTGCCAATCATGAATTTATAAGATACAAATTTTTATCACTCCATGAATAATACCTTTGGCCAAGAATAGTAAGGAAGGTATGTTTGATACTGTTTTGCTTTAGGAGAAACCACCATGGTTCTTTTGGCTCAGAATAGTGGTATGAGAACATTGGATCAAATAATAGAAAAAAAAAGGAGCTTACCAAATCAAGGGGCAAAATGAAAATCAAGGACAGTCAAAAGTATCCACTAATTAAGTGTTTTTGATTTGGAGACAGTAAACTATGGTCTGCCATTTTTTGCCTGCTGCTGCTAAGTGGGCTGGGGTCAGTTATTCTACAGGAATGTAACCTGTTTGTTGTAAATTATGCAGAACCTTCTAGGGGGCAGCAATGAGTAGCATATGCACTGAGTTCTTGCTATTTACTGTGGCAGTCACCTCAGTAAGATCCCTTACAGAGACAGCATTCATCAGGACATATTTTCCATTCCCTGGGCCCATCAAGGGTTGGATTTTTAGCAAGCAAAGTTAATGGAAATTACATTATTAGAAGTAATGAGGGGAAGGAAAGATTATTCTTTTACTTTATCTCTGTCAAACCTACCCTAACTTGTAGGAAGTGCTTGTCTTCTGAATTCAAAATAATGGTAATGTTGAATCTTCTGATCTGTAGTCAGACATGTTACCCATTGTGCCACTGGCCTGCACCCTAGAATAATGGTAATCTTGAAAGCAAGTACCCATTCACATGTCCATGATGATGATAACCACTTTAAAAAGCACCATTTTCAAAGTACCTTATGTCTCAGGCTTTTAAAGTGATTGCCTGTTAGAAGCTAACATTCTGATAAGGAATTAGTAGGTATCCTTAAGTATTTGTACTCATTTAAAAATACTTAATTTCATTTCTCAATTGTGAACTCTCCGTCTTTCTCTGCAAGTAATTTGTCCTCTCTTTAGTCCTATTTTCCTTCCCTCAAATAGATGTTTTCATTAATAACCATTTCTCTTCTTTTTGTATCTCTTGTCAGTTGTATAGGGTGCATTGAAACTTTCTTCAAAATAAGATGACTGAAAAATTATTCTTACCATTTTTGAGACAAGAATTATAAAATCCTAGAAGTGAAAGGGACCAAATTTAGTTTATAAGGAAAATAAAATCCAGAAGTTTATATTTGGGTATGCACAGAAAGCCATTAAGTTACCCTTTCTCTGGTCTCTTTCCTAGAAGAAGAATATGCCACAGTGCCTGTTCATACAATAGGCATTTTTTTTTCAATCCTCACCGAAGACTATGTTCATTGATTTTTAGAGAGAAAAGAAGAGAGAGAGAGGGAGGGTAGGAGGGACGGAGGAAGAGAAACATTGATGTGAGGGAGAAACATTGATCAGTTGCTTCCTGTATGCGCTCTAACCAGGGATTGAACCTGCATCCTAGGTATGAGCCCTGACCAGGAATCAAACCCATGACCTGTCGGTGCGTGGGACGGTGCTCCAACCAACGGAGCCACTTGACCAGGGCCATACGATAGGCTTTAAAATATGTTTTTATGAATGAGTTTTTGTATGGGTTAAATTCTGTATAGCGTCAAAGAACTAATTATGGACAGGATTGACATTTTATCTTACTAATAAGAAAATGAAACATCTCGGAAATGAAATGTGGAAACTGGCTGCCTTGTAAAGAATCCAAAAGGAAAGCTAGTAACATCAGGGACATTGTAGGTGGGGGTTTCTCTACTGGGTCTGGTGATTAGTTATTAATATAAATATCTAAAGGAAAGGAAACAGGGTTAAAGAGAGGAGGAATTAGTTGCAAAAGTAGATTGAAAGTTATAATGAAGAAACAAATAGAAATATTTTTAAACGGGTATCAATACTAGAAAGTATGTGTTAATTCCTGGAGATTGAATTGGATAACTTTTTGAATCCAACTCTTAAGATTCTAGACTAAACATCTTGAGGAGAAAACTGCTTTGGGCTTTGTGTTTCTCTTTATGGCCTGATGATTCTGCTGCTTAGAGGGCCTAAAAGTTGTTTTATAAGGCATCAGGTAAACTTAGAAATACATGGCATACAAGTAAATGGATCTGACTTCTGCTCTGATCATGATAGAATAAAATAGATTAGATTAACCATTTCATCTTAACTAGAAAACTAGATAAAACATGAAAACAGCAATTTTCAGACATTGGGTAACAGTGATCCCTGAGAGAAGGGAAATGAAAGGGATGAGTCTATGATTTGCCTAGTTTACTGGGGTGGTATATTGAGGGCAGAGAGCTGGTAAAACCTAGCAGTGCCTGACACTCTGAGGAGACAGAGTTCCAAGTTTGGGAAGACTAAAGTGGCTAAGATTTGTGAGGTCAAATACTGGAGGGAAGTTTCTGTAGAGGGAGAAAGCTCCAGAAGTGTGCAGAGGGCCCTCCTTAAATCTTTCATTGAGTACCTGTCTGTATATATTCTGGAAGGAACTAGTAGAGGCTGGGAACTGCAAGGACGAAGGAGTAAGAACAAGCCTCAGAGCTAAAACAGGTGCCTTGCATAGTTTATGTTTCAGTCAGCAAGAATGAAAAAGTCAAAGGGTATTGATTATTTAGAGTCCTCAGAAGAGTATTGCCTCAGGATTGGTGCTGAACTGGCCCTAGAATAAAGGCTGCTCTGGAACTTTGGTAACAAAGCTTGAAACTTCCAAGTAACTTAACTATATCACAGAACAAAGCCCAACAATATTTAAAGAAATACAATAAATTCTAGTAAACAAAGCCCAGCAACATGATATTCACAGTATCCAGCATCCAGTCAAAAATTACCAGGCATGCAAAGTGGGGGGAAAATGCAATTTATTACAAGGGGAAAAAATTCACTAGAAATACCCAGAAATGACAAAAGTGATAGATTAAACATACAAAAATACTAAAACAGATATTATAAACATAT